AAACAGATTAAGGGTTGACCATTTGAAATCGGGGGGGGGGGTCTTTTAACGAGCACATTTATTTATTTATTTATTTATTTATTTAACACTTTATTTAAAGAGGGTAGGCCAATATACAATAAAGTAATTTTCATTGGGCCCTCTGTAGGAACAAAATACATAATATACTCGCTATAGGCTTGAGCCATTTACAACAACTTTTTCACTAAGATATATTTTGTATGTATCCAGAACCTGTGATATATTAGACGATGATTACAATTTCAAATTTTACAAGATCTTTTATTCACTAAATTTCAAACAGAGTTTTTATACCCTCCAGCACTCCCCATTTAATTGTACGTGCCCCTCCTAAGGACATCTATAGTTATCTAGAGGGGGCGTATACAAATGAATTGGGCAACTGGGAGTGAGTGTTAGAGTTAGGGTTAGGGATGGGAGGTACAAAAGGGACTCTTGCCGAAATGAATACACCAAACAAACCAATGAAGGTCTTATTCGCTCCCCATAATTTGAGTTGGCCCATCCCTGTTGATCTTTGTCTGTGTATGGACTTTGTTATTATGGCATGGACAGGCCAGTATTATTGAGTAAGTATATAGTTTGACAGTTTCAGACCGACTGACCAACAGTCAAATCCATTCAACTTCAATCCAAGTATACTCACAGTGTTTGCCAAGCATGACATCTAAAGTGGTAGTGGCAATTTTAACCTAGAATCTATGCAGTGTTCAATTCACTACATTTTATGTTACAATGAACTCCGTATAAATTCTAGATGGAGTTTGACCCCAAAATCAGGGCAAACCCTTTCTCAACAACTGTCATAAAAGACAATTAATTTTAAGTTTTAATTCAACTATTAAGTTTGTTTCTGAGAATGATTAAAAACTAAGGGGTGTTGTAATCCTGATTATATACACCTGTATGTGTTATATCCATATACAAGCTTGTACATATAGGTATACATATAGTATATATGTATGTATACATATAGACATATATGTCTAAATATGTTGCGTTTATACACAATATTAATAATAACAGATTAATATTAGGTACGACCGACTGTTGACAGTTTAATAGACACAGTATACATGTGGGTATTCATGTACAGTCAAACTTCTGTTACACTTTCCCAAGGTGATGGCCACCTTTGAGCAGTCCAAAAACAATTGAATCCGTGAGTTCCTCTTTGACACTGCTTGGGTCAAATGGATGAACCGATAACAATTTTTGATTTATGAAAACACTGTTGATGGGGATAATTCTATAGAAAACTTGCAGGAATATGCATAGCAGCTAGACCCAACCCCATATTTTTGAGGGACCATTTATTCTAAGAGTATGCAACTTATTATCATCATTCTTCTCTAAATCCCTAAAAACAACCAGTATTTCCTTGTGTTTTATATTACAACTGAATGTGAATATATAGTGTCTTTCCTTTCTGATCATCAATTGCTTTCAAATGTAAGATACCCTCTTTCTTGCCTACAAAATAATTTACATATGTTTTTACTACTTAGTTAATAACGTGTATTTTTCTTTAATAAACAGATACGTTTTAATCGTGTGTTAAAGCCATATTTTATGACAACACTTCGAAAGATGATGATGATGACACAATCATCTATCGACCCATCTGAGTTCCAAAGTGTACAGTACACTGTCAAGGACAAAGTGGCCAATATTACATTGAATAGACCCAACAGATTGAATGGTAAAGATTGTTCTGTTTGTAGATTCTTGTTTTGACTGCCTCAAAGTATATGATTTAAATATGTTTGCATGTTTATAAGCTAAATTAACTGATTATCCATGCTAGGCATTTATTGTAGTGGTCTGATTGGGTGGTAGGGAGGGGGTAGGAGATTTCAAGCTGTTTTGCTCAAAACTTAAGTGATGCTGAAATACACAATACCTGATGGTTGCATGATGGTATGCTAACTACAAATGACAAATCTGAATTCAGTATCATTCACAGTCTATGCATGTGTTTTCTCTGGGAAAGGCAACAATGTTTTTTGTCTGGCCTGATAAACAATAACATAACTAATAACAAGTGAATTTTTGAAAATATTTATATATACATAGTGATTCCAACTGATAACTTTAAAACATTGTGTATTTTGTTAATAGCTATTGGTATACATACACCCAAAGAAATTTACCAATCGGTATTACTGGCTAATAATGATGAGAATGTTAAGGTGATTGTGTTATCAGGAAAGGGTAGAGCTTTTTGTTCAGGATATGATCTCATTGACTTTGCTCAATCTGAGAGAGGAACATTTGGTAAGTACATGAACAGCGCCACCTAGGGTTTTGGCTACTGAGTAGGTCTCACCCTAGAGTTAAACAGTCCATAGACGACAGTGTTCAAGTCTGACACCACAATTGAATTTGATTTGTCTAGTAGGCAACAGATGTTGAAAGTCCCACAAATCAAACTACACCAGCAACAACCTTCCAGCTGACTGCTAACCCTAAATGTATCAGTCCACCATTCAAAACCAGCTGAATTTTAGGAGGGTATTACAAAGAATACAAATCTTGTTCATTCACCGGAGTAAACACGCGTCATTGTTACTGCAAGAGGCCTGTATCAGTGTATGGTCGAAGGGAGACAACTCGCGGTGTCTCCAATGCGGAATGTTCTTGACTCTTTTCATCAGTGCAATCGTAAAATCCGAAGTGGTTTCGAAGAGTTCGAAGTAATATGTAACGATTAACATGATTGACTGAGTTTGCTCTGACGGGCGGTGAAGAGCTTTCATTTTTCTTTTCACCAATGGCGCCATTTTATTGTTTCAATTGTTAGCTGCGTTGGATCGTTGTTTACAAGTTTCATGCAGCGATAATGGTGAAATTGGTTACACAGTCACAGTCAGCTGTGCGAGGGATCGATAAAGACATTAGGAACAAATTTCGTTGGGCTTGACAAGGAAGTGACTTTGACTATGCAAATCGGGAAGAAAGATGAAGTGGTAACTGAAAAATTGAGTGACTTCATCGGCAAGTGCAAGGGCCCGGGAAAGGCGCAGTGTCTGTATTGTAATGATTTGATCAACTGCGGTTCTCGGACCCCGGCTACTTTACTTTCAGCTGAAAATTAAAATTCTCACTCTCATCCCTGAATGTATCAGTCCACCATTCAAAACCAGCTGACTGCTCACCCTATATGTATCAGTCCGCCATTCAAAATCAGCTGACTGCTCACCCTATATGTATCAGTCCGCCATTCAAAACCAGCTGACTGCTCACCCTATATGTATCAGTCCGCCATTCAAAATCAGTTAGTTTTCCTTTTATTTGCATTCAAGGCTGGTATTATATTAAATAAAACAGTTTTTAATACAACCATGCCATCTCTTGTAATGTTTTTTTTTTTAATATAGAAGGATACATTTAGATTAACAATATTATAGACTCAATGAACACACAAATAGAAAGAATGAAATTTTTGTCCTAATTATAGGGAGTCAAAAAATGCCATGGGATCCGTACACTGATTACAAGGTTATGGCTTCATGTACTGAAGCGTTTATGTCACTATGGAAAAGTTACAAACCTACAGTGTGTAAGGTACATGGATTTGCAGTTGCTGGAGGTAGCGATATCGCATTGTGTTGTGATATGGTAATCATGGCGGATAATGCAAAGATAGGATACCCACCCTCAAGGTAATTTGTGCCTCCTAGTTGTACTTTGGCACAGAACAATAATTTCTCCACATCAAAAGCAGCCAAACCATCTCAAAACATACAAATGGTTTGAGGAAAGTGGACATATACATGCAACTATAGATACCAGTTTTTAAAAATTGTGTCCCAGACATTGATTAAGGCAGATAACTTTCGACCAGCCCTTTGAGAAAGTCCCTGTATTAAAGATTATTTTCAAGTACCTTCATTCTCATTTCAAGTTAGCACTTCCTCATACAATATGATGCAGCAAAGAATTCATTATTGTTTAAATGTCAGAAAAATATAAAAAATTATATTCTATTTGGATTTATATATGTATTTTTCCAGAGTATGGGGCTGTTCCACTCCAGCCATGTGGGTGTACAGAGTAGGTCCTGAAAAAGCCAAGAGACTTCTGTTTACTGGTGATTTGATCACTGGTAAAGAAGCCACTGACATGGGACTTGTTTTACAGGTACTGTCTTTGTTTCACACATTATGTCTATAGTCACATTTAAATTGCATGTAAATTTGTTGTGTGATCCACTTGAGAATAAAAACAAGATGATTGTTGAATATTCAGTGCTTGTAGATTTCATTCAATTTTAGCTTGAACATCATAAAGGATTGTTTATATTTTTATCCAATCAAAGACTGTTGATTCATTGTTATACAGAATGTAGTTTCCATCTATTACCATGTATATGCAATTGTTTTATGATCCATTATGACAGATTGGTGAGCATTTCTCATACTGTAGAATACTTTATCTTCGCTTAGAATTGATTTCCTCTGAAGGAATGATTCAGTGAAAATAAAATTCAGCGAACATACTTTTTTCCTAGTTTTTACATACAGCTCATCAAAAATCAGTGAAAATAAATTGCATACAAAACATCAAAGACGTCTATTCAGCAAAAATTAATTCCATCTAAAATAAAGTATTTTACGGTACATTAATTTGATTCCAACTTGATGCTGCAGAAGATGCAAAAAACAAAAGAATTTGTTACTTTGGCCAATGAGGGTACTATGAGTCTGATTTAGTCATTCTGATTTCTAGTCAGTGCCAGAAGACAAGTTGGATGATGCTGTTGATAAGCTTGTACAGAGAATGGTGAATGTTCCGTCCAATCAACTATTCTTTCAAAAACAAGTTATAAACCAGGTATGTAAATATTGATTAGTGATAAAACCATTACTTTGTGCAAAGTGCATCACAATCTGATTAGCCCTTTGAATGTCATCAGTCTCTTTTTTGTAACTTTTCAGAAATAGAACCTGCAGAATTTTTTTCATGTTTCTCCAAAAATGTTGATCAAGACCTTAATTAAAATTTATTACCTATATTAAAATTAACAAAGAAATAATAAAAAAAATGTGCAAAATATTTGTGGAGAAAAATGGCACTCAAAGGTTTAAAATCTAAGACGTTAGTATTCATGGTCTTTAACAACATATGACTGATTACCCAATCATGTTGAGACCCAATAGCCAATCAAAACTTGGGACTAAGAAAAATATAAAGCTCATTAAATTCCCAAACACCTATTAAGGCAAAATGTCTGAAATATTGTAATACCATAGGATAGTAAGATGACTAATATTCATTTCTATTCGGTATAAAACTTGAGATGTATGGTATAGGTATGGCATACCAGTCCTCTGCAAACTCAAAACAATCCCTTTTCACTGATTTTTTGAAATTTACCCACTGACTTTATTTTTTAACAAGCTAATTTTAGTCCAAGAAATTAATGCCTTTCTGCATTCGATATGTTTCGTTCAGGTGGTTTCCACTGCCAAAATACTATTTTAAAAAGTATCTGTTTTTTGTTGGTTTCACGTAAATGTGAGCTTAAAAAAGTATATCTCTTTATTTGCGAAATTCAGAAAAGACAGGCGTGTCCCATGACCATCCATGTACCCATCCCTGGGCGTTGATCCCTGTAAACATTATAAGGAAACTCACTTAATTAATCACTTTATATTAAATATTAATCAGGCTGTGGAACAGATGGGTCTATCTTCAACACAGAGATTAGCTACATTTCTAGATGGCATGACCAGACATAGTCCAGAGGGCGTTTTGTTCCAGCAGAGAGCATATGAAGCTGGGTTTAAACAAGCTGTCAAAGAAAGAGACTCTGGGGTATGTACATTGTTCATATTGTCCACTTTACAACAAATTTTGTTTAGAACATTTTCAAAATATTGTGGGCAGTTTATTACTAGGATCAGCAAATTTATATAGGATTGAATATTATGCGTTGATTCATCAAAATTTATAGTTCTTGTCAATTTTTTTTCTTCTGAAATTGACGAGAGCATGGTGATTAACATGCTCAGTTTATTTTAAAATTGTAAAAAAAAACAATCATGCTTCTGATTTTTTGTGAAAATTAACTTCTCTTTTGTAACCTAAAATAGTAAAAGCAGATGTTAACATTTTTCACAGACTCCTATGATGAAACCAGAAACATAAATATTTTTTCTGGACTTTAGATTTGTGTCAATATTTGTCCAGTTAAGCGTTTAACCATAGCTTACATGATTTGTATGTTTCTTTCACCAGGATGAAACTGCATGGTCTGGTCCAAACTCGAAATTATGAAATGTCCTCCAACTGACAAGATGCTTAAATCACCAGTCTTTGTGCTGTGGCACATTAAAATGATTATTTTAAATAAATACATCAGATATATATATATATATATAGTAAACTTTATTGTTGCTCCTGTTTAATTAATTACAATAATGTTGTGTACATTTCTGACAAACTAAGCAGACATAGATTACTGCTAAGGTTTGATGAAGAGGCTCATACACTCAAAAACAAACGCGTCTTACAGACGCACATTGGATTAACTTTTAATATAGTTACAATGTGAATTAAAACATGTTCCTATATAGGGTTGCAGTTTAATTTGAGTTTAATTAAACTGAATTAAATGCAATACAACATGGAATTGCATTTTAATTCAAGTTTTAATATCCTGTGACATGACATAGAAATGTTTGTGAAGCTTAGGTTTAGTAAAGGAGGTAGGTATGGTACAATTATATTATATAAATTGAACCATACCTTCCCCCTGAACTTGATTTGAGTTTGATTAAATATTAATATAAATTATGTAAATAGTGAGGGTCATCATAATTTCCTAACCAGTTATGCTCTAGTAATTTAGTAGAGTAGACAGTAGTTCTAAAGTATATCAAAGAAAGCTTAGAAAGAACTCCCGTGTGCTGAGAATATTGGAGACACATTAAAATTAATTCAAAATTTAAGATTTGCATTTCAAGCGAGAAGCTGAGCAACTAATATTTGTCTGCTATTTGAGATGCACAACATGAAAACAATGTGATTTACATTATCAAAATTTATTATACATACAGAAATACATTTGATTTTTTATCCATGGTTTTTAGTCTAATAAATTAGAGCACCTGTGTGATGAATTCAATTTAAATCTGTTTTTTTAAGATATCAGGAATAGGCTAATAATAGATAAACATTATGGATGTTTATCAACATGAAACTAATCACATCTGTGGACTACCTCAATGAATCATACAAATTAAGCAATTATGCAAAGATTTAGTCTGTATATTGTTTCAGGGTGCACATGTACAAGTGATAGTACTTGAAATATCAAAAGCTAAAAATTGATTAATTATGCAAATTAGGTAATTAATATTTCACATATCTGTCTGCATTGTCCTATGTATCCAAGTTTCATTGAAATGTGATTAGTACCTGATATATCAGTGGAAAAGCCGAATATTGATTAGTCATTATCCAAATTAGGTTAATTATATGAATCAATTTTTACCCAAAACTAATCAAATCAGTACATTAGTCCAGAGCATCTATGCAACAAGTTTCATCAAAATCCAATGAATGGCTCTTTGGACATCAGTGGCTGTGTCATGGAACAGCTAAAAATTACCGGTAGCTAATTATCATGCCAATTAGGTAATTACTATATTTTTATTATCCCTGTTTACTCCACAACATGATGACTGTGAATGTGACAGTCACAGTTAACAAGTGCGTGATTGGACAGTGGAGCGGCGACTTGAAGTCTGGGTGCGATGCAAATGTATCAAAACAACCTTTATTGTAGCAAAACAACTTCAACAACGTTGGAAGCAATTGCTGTACATTTACCGACAATGTTGATAATAACTTGCTGTAGTGTAGCAATATTTAGTTAAACATAATCGTTCAATGAATGATGATAGTAATATGCATGGATTTCAACCAAAACTTAAGCAATTGTGCGCATTGGCCCAGAGCATCTATGCACCAATTGTCATTAAAAACCAACATATGGTTCTTGAGATATCAATGGAACTGACTGACAAACACACAAACACACACACACACAGGATAACTGCAAAGACTCCCATTGTGTGCTTCGTACACGGGAGTCAAAAATTGTACTTTTTTGGCCTTGATAAAATTAAAATATAAAAGAACATTAATGTTGCTCGTCTCAAGAGGAATATAAGATTGTAGACATGTTATGATTGAGCGTAATGTAAATCCTAACAATATCATCTGATGAGCTGGAAGTGAGAAGATACTTCTAACTAGTAAGTAAACATCTGTCACATTATACATCACTTGGAGATGAACAATATTCCCGCCACAGACAAAACAAATGACTAATGGTATACAAGACATTTTGTTTTTGCGATAATTTCCTTGCCACAAATACTTTGATGTCAGACATCCAAGTGGTGAGCTAAGGTTACAGATGTAACATTTCATCTACCACTAAAAAATACTAATATTTATGTACACTGGTTTAAATTAATATGTATATTTTCATTGAGCCATATGGCAGTACTAACATGAATCATTCAGTTATATATGAAGAGCTGTCAAAAATCAAACAATTCTTGCAATACTATTTTTATAGTACATTAACTCCCAACGCCGCAGAGCACAGTAAAACAGAAACTTTACAAAGTTTTTCAGCAATCCTTCATCAAATGGATTTTCATCATCATTGAGGTCCTTGAGATACTGAATTCTTTGTCTTGACATAAATTCCCATGTGGTAGTATTGACAGCAATGAGGAAGCTATGACATCCTAAAAGTAGACCAGCCACCATTAATCCAAACAATAATAATGCAAATGCAAATATGAAGAAAAGATTGTACTGTAGCCATTCCTCCCATTTTTCCTGATGCTTGAAGGCAGACCTGAAGCAAGAACACAAAATAACATTCTTCTACATGTATATATAAATTTATCAGATATTCAATTTGGTGTATCACAGCCATACTACACAAGTGTACAAGTATTTTAGCAAAATACAGGTGGATTCTACAAGGTTTTTATAATAATACAGCAATGTGGGAATCAACCAATGACATCCCTGTAACCACAGAAAGATTTGACCATGGTAATAAAAATACCTCCATGCTTTTTAGCTAGCAAGTTACTTTATCTTTATATCCACAATTGTGCTAATTCAAGATGTACAGTGTAGCTATTTCAAAATAAAGTATATTTTCTTAATGAGATTGTTGGTACTTAATTCTGTAAAATTGCATGCAGATACATGTACATGTATTATTGAAAATATTACTTGCCATGTAATCTTCAGAGACCACATAATTAGAGCAGTTTCTGTTAGCAAAAACAACCAAAAGTAGCGATGATTTCTCTCCCCAACGCAGTTATCCAACCAAGGGCAATGATGATCAAATCTGTGAACACATCGTTTACACTCTCTACAGTGTTTCACTCGCATTGGTTGCTGCAAAACACAAAAACATACATGTATATGGCTTCAATTAAAATTGTTTTTGAAAGATTTGCTAGGATATCATTATGTATTACTAATTCCATAGCGATATTGTTGCTACTTGCTATGATTGTTTTACAAGAAGAGCCTTATTGTCAAATAGCAATGGCCACGATAGAGTGTCTATACACATAAAAATTAAATTTATAAAGATATTTCATTCACCATGAATCTGATTTTCAAGAAAAGGTGTCAAACAGGCAAAAATATTTGTTTACTCAATATCACTGAACAAAATGTGGAGATATTTGACATTTCCCTAGCCATAGAAAACAATGGTCAATTGCGTATATACAGATAATTTCAAAGTTTCCACAGGACTTACCAATATTTTACAGTAGGAACATTTTTTGAGTTTAATCTTTGGAGAGTCAAGCATTTGAGAGGCTTCTGATCTGCCCTCTTCCATCTCCTCATCGCTGGTACTATAATCATCATTGTTGCCAAGCCTCTTGGATTTTGAATTCTGCAAATATACCACATGGATATTATTTTATTATGTCTGGGAGCTTTACTTATATGCCGCAACTACCATATATATTTTGGAAGCTCAACGAGTTGCTGGTAGCAACATGGTAATATTGGCTATGTAATTCATCAAGTTTATGTTGGTATTTGCAATCAGGTACAAAAGTACATAACCTGCACCTAGATTTGGATTGATTGATACACTTGTATGTAGTATGACAATTTTACATAGTAGTCAAGTTACCGTATTTGTCTTCAATTAGACGCCACTTTGTTACACATTCATTTCGTGGTGGCGCTTATTTGTGGTTAAATTTGGGCAACTTTGTTTCAAATGGTGCTTATTTCAAGCACTTCAAGTTCCAGTACCGGTAACTGTGTTTCATCAAGCCATTGTTTTACATTACAGTCTGACGCTTAGTCACTGTAGCCTTAATTACCTGTTTTCAGACAGTCTAGAAAGTTATACAAAAATTATCATCCTTTAGAAAACATTCACATTTTGTCGTACGATCAACAGAAAAATAAATGCATCGCTTAGTAGTAAATGATCACAATAGCGAAATCCGGTCATGCTGCATT